GCTTTTCAATGTGACGTCACCCGGACTGTCGAGGCCCATGCATTGATGCCATTGCAGGGTTTTGTTTTGCCAATCGGACCTGTGATCAAGGACCAAGGATGTTATTCGTTTGCAGTGGCCAGACCTAGAAACCCCTGCAGTTCCAACACATGTCACATTGAACCGAACATCTTCTATGCAGCTAATCTTAGCGACAGAGTTTGACGTCGATTCGCTGCGATTCAGATCTAGCATCAACGTCTTCAAGCAGGAATTGGAGGCGGACCTTTTTCAGCCAAGTAAAAGCAGCCTGCTTCGTGCACTGGACATCACTCCGTTTTGTCCGTCGAATTTGTGAGAGCTGGCATCGATTCTTCTGCAAGACACGCCAGACCCTGCTGGCGCAGGTGAATATGGCTTGCACTCCCAATCTTCTGGAATGCGGAACAGCGAAGGATCTAGACAATTTGGCAGTTGAGGTACCTGAATGGGCCGGGCTCTGAAGGGCTGCATACCAGCTGTATATGGGTTCACTGTATTGAGCTTGAGATTGGGTTTGAGGCTGTATTTCTTGCCTGGTGTTGGACACGGGTGAAGCTTGACAAGGGTGAAGCTTAGGTGATGCCAGTACTGTAGTTGCTGGGACTACGATGCCCCAAAAGTTTGTTCTGGAAACCGCAAGAGATACCTCAAGTAGTGCACAGTCTAACGGTGGTGGTTGGAATGTCATTTTGCAAGCAAACCAGAGAAACTAACAGGGCTGCACGCCCTGCAAAAATACGACACGTATCAAACAGTGCAATTTTCCCGGAGGCAGAGGGGTATTCACTCATGCATCCAAATCACCTGTTAGTGAGCCATGAGCTGTGACATTAGTCATGCAAGTTCCCTGGTAGACTGTTTTTCATCAACATCAAGCGACTCTCTACATGTGGGTTTGTATTTTATTGGCGTGTACTTCCTGATGTAGTGGTCGGAAGTTCGACTTGAGCGATTCATACCCTCGAATCATACCTCGAATCATGCCCCCGAATCATACCCCGAATCATATCCCTCAAAAAGTAGGTGTATGAACAAGGTGTTTAGGTGAAGCCTTGTAGACGTTTGCAAGCTTGTGACCCACAGAACAAACCTATAGGTAACCGCTTTTTGAAGAATTCTATGGCCATACCCAATCATACTCGATTCATGCCCGATTCATACCCGAATCATGCACTCTCCACACAATTTCCCACCTTCCTCTTTTCTAGTGTTGCCAGCAAATGCCAGCAACCAACAAATACTGCTTGCCTGCAGCCTCACGGCCTAATGTGAGCCCAGTGCTGGAAGTCCAGCCAATCCAACAATAACCCAATTTCAACTCTGCGAATCATAGCTCGAATCATACCACCGAATCATACACCGAATCATACCCTTGAATCATACCACCTATTCAAACGTCCCGGCCCGACTATGGTAAAAAAATACACACCCATGTGACAACCCAACTCTCCTTCATCAGCTGAAGAGAACACATGAGTGGGCGGTGCGTCACTACCTACAAACTTCTGTGGATCACCACAAAGACAGGGTGTATGTGTTGAAATCGGAAGATGTGGCGACCTGTAAATCTTCAATTGAACTGGTTCCTTCCGCAGGTGCCCACAGCCGGGTGCTGCGAAGGGCTTAGCTGCCACTTGCAGGGGGCGCATTGCGGTCACATGCGTGTTTTGAAAGCTGTCCAGTCTTGCCATCCCCAGCGACGAAACTTGATCCTTTGTATCATAACAGCTCTTGACCCGAAAATCTCATGCGTTTGGAATTTTATGTTTTTGTTTGCTTCAGCCGCCTGGTGGTTGGCTACTATGATAGTAAGTAAGCAAAAGCATCTTCTCGAAGTCACTGTCTTCAGCATGCACTGCTTGTGGGTCTTTGCGAGGCGAAGCAGAGACCAATCGGCTCAAATGCGGACCACAGGCGTTTGCGCACCGGCACTTGCTGGTGATCTACTGTACTTTCTTAAGGGTCAACCGGTTAACCCGCCTAAAACACTAGTTTCCTTTGATCAATGGGCTGAGCTAGTGAGGCAGCACAGATGAAAGAACATGCTTCGAGTCTGAGAATGGCCAGAACTTCCAAAGCAGTATTAGCAAATCGGTTTTGGCAAACCATTCATTGGAGCCACATCGTTTCTACAAAGACAAAGCCGGTCACTCATACAATTTCCACCGCTAACAACAGTCGCCTCGTCTACAAAACTCTACAAACACTTTGTCATAATGCTACATGCCAGGATAGTGCGTGTTTGTTTTCAGTTTTTTGAGTCATTTGTTTTGCAGGTTGAGGGTGGAAGCTTCAGGCTTCAGGGTTTGGAAAAACAAAGAAAGTATCCTGTGCCCGTCCTCATCCTACGGTTGCTTCTAATGATTCTAATGCTATACCAGCGCCGCTCCGACCCGACTCCCTGCTACTACATGCTACTTCCAGCAACACGGATACACATACTGCTCCTATTGTAAACTTACTACTGCTGCAGCTGCTGCTGTGGTGCTATTGCTGCTGCCATTGCTATTTACTAAAATTTACTACCTACGAGGGCCATCGCTACAACTACCAAACTACACTACCAACGGCGCGACGACCATGACCAACACTCCTGCTGCCAGTACCATGATTGCCGGTTCTACCCCTTTTGCAACTCTATACTAGTTGCTACTACCGCTGTGGTCTAGTTCTTGTAGTGGTGTGCAGTAGCCTGGCTCGGGGTTATGTTATTGTGGGGAGGCGTATGCTTAGTGTTCGGTGATTGTTCATTGTGCTGCGTTTCTTGTTTTAAGACTTTCAGGTTCCTGTGGGCTCATCTAGCGGAATCGTCTTCGAGGACCGGCAATACTTGTGTACTTGTGTTGGTGACTTTATTGCTTGGCAATTTTGATTGGATCGAGTGTAAGCAAGTCAACTCCAGATGATAATTGTTTGCCTTGGGCACGGGCATGGGAGTTTGCCAAAGCTTCAAATGCATTTATCAAAATGAGCAGGTCAAGGACAAATATGTCTTGGAGAAAGACTGAGTCGATCCATGGCATGCTAGTGTTTGCTGACCATTTTGGATTTGTTATGAAGATGAATTCGGCAGCTGTGTGCCAATTACAAAGGCAAGAGTTTTGTTTCACACATCAGATCAAGCAAGGAGGTGTTTGAATTTTAAGCTGCTGCCAAATCACCCAAAAGTCGGGTCAATGTGTGATTCGCTTCCTTGACATGGCCATACTTCCCTGCTGACAGAATGTTGATATCTACACACCTGATGGCTCACGGATGCTCTTGCCAAATGCGTGGGACCTAGATCAATCATTGTTTTGGAGTGAAGGAGGCATGTTCACCTTGCAATGATCACATTACAAAGTCAGTGAAATATTGCGTTCAATGGGCATCCACGGGTGGCATCATGTTGCCAAGAGACGCATTTGTTCATTCTGTTGTACTTCCATGCCAAAATCGGCAAAAGCTTGAAGATTCTGGGAATTGCTTGCAGGTGAACCTCACATTAGATGTGGGTGAAAGCTGCCTCATTATGGGCACCTTGGCCGCATGGGGGTGCACATCGGCGATCTTGCAATCTTTCTCACTTTATCGCTTGGCAACTGGCTGAACTTTGGGCTATGCACTATGATGAACAAATTCACAATTGCGCACAATTGTTGCGCTTCTCCCTGATTAGCAGCGCAAGGTGTGTGTGTGTGTGTGTCAAGCTCCGTTCCTAGGAGTTTACTTTCACGTTTCCCCGGACTTCACACGCAAGGGGTGGAGGCACCGGTATTGCTTCTCCACCAACGAAGCTGGCAATACCCGGTGAGGATATCAGTTCCGGACGCGGAACTGACTGATACGATCGCTGTCGTTTTGTTCTTCCATGGTGGTTCTCCATGATACTCCCCACAAGCCCACTTACCTGCCGCGTATGCAGCTGAGCCACCGCAACTTTCTGCAGTCATGCATTAACATTTTGTTCAAGCACCTTCAAGTGCTCGGACGATTCACCTTTCCGTTTTGTCACTCTTTTCCTTGGGGAGGGTGAACCAGTGACTAAGTGTGTATCGGTGTGTCTCGAATTCGCGTTTCCTGTATTCGTTGGATTATGGTTTTTGGAACCCTTTTGTCTCACCCATGAATCCTCTGAGAGCAAAGAGGCCGCGCTTACGGCTATCCATGCTGCGGAGCTCACGGATCAAGCCGCTTTTTCTGTGAGTTTTTCATGCTTTGCCACATGTTCCCACATGCTTCATCGAAGCACTTAAGATGCTGAGGTGCCACTCCAACTCTTGACGTTCGATTTTGGCAAGAACCCTTGACCTGAATTATTTTTGGTGACAACATTCTTTTCTTGGAACTCATTGCATTTATTCATTGTGATTCCGTTTAGTTTTGTGAACTTTCACCATCCTCGTGCGGTGCCGCTGCTGCCGCGCCGCCGCCGCAGCTGCACCCACAACAGCGAGTTGTACACCGGCGCAGTGAGCAATATCTTTCACCGGCACCAAGATGCAATTTCCGTGGCCATATCCCTACCACCAACAGATGCCTCCACCAGCCACTGTACCTCGACTTAATTCACTGCATGCTCGCTTACCTCGTTTGTTTCATCCGAGCGCCGCCCGATAACTGCAGCTGCTGCTGGCGCTGATTCTACACCTGATGATGGACGATGACCTCTCCCACTTGATGCATCAGACCACAGCACTCCTTTCTCAACTCAGCGCCGCACTGCAAACGGCCACGGACACCGTACAACGGATCCAGTGCCACTTTTCTGTCCCTCGAATTTCTCCATGCACGACACCGCAGCCGTTTCCGCCCAACTTCTTTTTAGGTTTTTGGTTGCGCTCCCTCGTCCTCTTTTATAGAGCCAGTGTTATCCATGGATGCCACCCATCAGCGCCCTATGCAGCCAGAGCACTCTCCGCCACAAGCCACCACACACTGCCTCCCATGGCCATCAGCTACACTGACCAGAACTCCTACTTGTGCAATGGACGCTGAAGTTACTCAAAGGGTTGCTGGAAGCCATTCTCCAACATCCTTTGGTCCTTGAACCCATTCCCAATCAGAACCACTTCACCGATCGCAACTCCTACACACTTTACGTCCAATTCCGCAATGCTCTGCATCGCCTTGCCCCCATTGTCTCCCCAACGCTCGCTTTCCACCTCACACAACCAATTTCCTCAGCGCTCGCCGCCTTACCACCACGCCCACCCCACAACAGCACCATATACCTCCATCAGCAATCACCTTCGACCTCCCCGCAACCGTTCCCGCTCTCACGAACGTGACACACCCACGCGCACCTGGCAGACACCACTTTTTCACCATACTACCCTGACTCAGCGTCCTCTACTCCCTCACTGACACCATCGCAAACACGAGCATGCATCCAGGAAGCCGATGTGGCCTATGCTGCTGGCCATCGCGGCACTCTACACCAACAACTCTGGAGCCTCCACTGCCGTGCCGCGACCAAATTGAAGAGTCCAACGCGCCAACTTACCCGTGACCTTGTAGACTCCCCGACACTGGCGGCTTTTTGGAAAAGGATGCCATTCAAGCACTTCCCCACAGCTTTGTTCGTGGCTTTTCCAATGTTTCAGCTTCACCTTCACCGCACTTTCTCCATGCTTCCTTTCCGCAGCCGTTTATTTCTCAAAAAAGTTGTTTTGGATTTGAGCTCCCCAACTAGCGCCACTTCAGCCCCACTATAATATACCACCACAGCAACCAGCGACAACCCCCTGTTCCATTACGACACTACCAACGACTCTCCACCCATCCACGCCCACCACCATCACCCTCTACCAGCAGCGACGACCATCGACGATCCTATCATTCTGTACGTGCCATCCCTCAAGAAGTCCCGCCCCGGGCCACGCGCGGACGTTGCCTCGCGGCCACCTTATCAGCACCTCTGCCACCACCACAGGCCTTGAAGTCCCAGTCAACCAACCCAATCTTCCCTTCGACCTCGCCCCACACCTTCTTCCACTTCCTGACCACGCCGCCAGCTGAAATTTCTTTCTGTCTCGCGTCACACTCTTGTGGCAAAAAGACCCCTCGACAGGCTGACATTTCAGACTTGTGATTTTCTGTTTTACGGACTTGAGATCTCATTTCACATGTACGACGCCGTCAACTCAACCCTCCATGATCCCCCAACACATCACATCTCTCACCGCAGCTGTTTTCACAGATCTCGATGCCACAACTGAAGCCCTCCACCACTCCAAGGGCGCCGACGTCCCAAACAAGACAATCCGCGCGCACCTTTATGGCTCCACTCGTGGAGCTTCTCATCACCCACCCCACAGCACATGCCCCACCAGCAGCACACCCTCACACCTCGCAAGGATCCCAAGCACAGCTCCACCACCACAACCGCACCTCCATCCACACTCCCCGCCGAGCCTGCTGCCAGCCCTGCCGCGCCTACTCTGCAGGACATCCTGCAACCTCCCCACCCCGCTTTGCGCGATGGCATTCTAGAGGGGTGGTCCTATCCCGCAATTGCCAAGTGGATGTCCGCCTTTGACGATGCCATTCAAGCTTCCCCCAAAGACATCCCACCAATCCTTCAACCAGCAAGTGAGAGCAGTTGCGTGAACCTCGCCTGCTGACTCAGCCTCCAACTGGCCCACACGCCATCCATATGCACCTTTTTCGGCTCCTTAGAAGCCTATCCAACCTGCTCCACAAAGCCACTTGCATCAAGCGAGCCGACGCTATTTCGCCACTGGCCTGATACATCTCACTCTGCTTTTTGCCTATCCCTCCCACACCCATCGATCCCAGCAATGGCGAAAGCGCTTTACTCAGCATGCTGCCACACTTACCACTACCACCACTTCCTTGCTCCCAGTTCAGTGTATATGAAGCTCCACCCAACGCTCCTACCACCAGCACGGACATTTCTATGTGGGATCCACCGCCATTGGCGTCGCTCACCGTGAACGCAATCGCCGCGCCAAACTCAAGCAACTACAGAACGACGTCCCAATCTCAGCAGAACTCTCCCATGACACCATTGACCAATTCACCACCCTCCAACTATCCCCCCATGACACCTATGATCAAGCCTGCGTCCATGAACGCAACCACATCTCCAATTGGATGCCCCCTCTGAACTGGCCTTTCATCTCCCAACACCTCAGACTCGAAGCCCAAGGTTGGCAATTCACCCAACACCGAATTCACTTTTACTCCCGCCACAGACGTCTCTTTCAACGCCATTTGACGCAGGCAAAACACCCTGCGAGAGCCCCGCCTCTTCACCTCTACCAAACACCACGCCTTAACACTATTACACAACCTTACCAAGCACACCAAGGACTACTTGAATCTTTTGAAGCAGCCAAACAACTCCGCAGCGGCCGCCACCGCCATCCGGCGCGTGGCTTCAAACCTTGAACAACCAGGCCGCAGCAGAGCACTTCACATCATCCACAAGGCGATGCTGTATCGCAACCTCCCACGAACCATCAAGCACACGCTGATTTGAACTTCAGCACTCAGCAATGGCTCAAATCCATCATTCGGGAACACCTCTCACATGCCATTCCCCTCCACCTACCCACCTGCAAACTCCGTCAAGCCGCTCACTCCGCAGCCAGCTCCACAACCACCAAAATGGGAAGATGCCATTCCCATCCTACAGCCCTACCGTGTGCTTGCGCACGCCTGAAGACATTGCTGGTTGACCCCCATCACCCTACCACAGATGGACGTTACATTCTCACCCTATAGCGGACATCCGCCTGCCACAACACCTCCGCATCTTCCTAGATGCCAACATGAACAGCACTTTCTTCCCCACCAAAGCCCGTTACTTCCTCACATTCCAAACCGCCTTCCGGAAATGGCTCCGGATACAAGGCTTTCCCTCATCTTTGGTACAACACACTGACACATTTCTCAACCAACAATGGAAGCAACACATCCACCAGCTTCATCAACAGCCCCGATTCACAGCAAAGCTCCTCCGCCAACTCCAAGAACGCTTGGGCGACCAAGTGATCCTTCACCATGCGGATCACGAACTCTAACAATACTTTCTAGGCACCCTCAACACATGGCATGCGCCGGAACTCTTCCAACCTATGCCTCACCTCACTCCACTCAACATCAGCGAACACCTGCAGGCCACCATTCCCACCACCCTCCGCGCAAGATACAAATGGGGCTTTCGCCGCAATTTCACCATCCTGTATGGCGTTGTCCACCCCAAGGAGAAGAAGCAGTGGCGCAAAGGACGAACCATCATCTCGTACTACCACTCATTGGCTGGCAACCTCTTACGAATCACCAGCCGCGCCCTGGACATCATTCTTCAACACCTCTACCCCCAACAGCCAGGACACCTCTCCATTCCCCAAATTTGGCAACGTTTCCACACCCATCTCGCCCATGTTCCAGCAGACATCACCCTCCACGCAACCAACGACGACCTTGTTGGTGTCTTCAATTCCACAACACCGCCTGCTTGAGGCAGTCCACAGCAGCCTCATCCGCCATTGGCAACAACAACATCCTACTGACGCACTCACCATCGATGTGCAAGCCGCCAACCCTACGCAACGCACCTACGATTGTTGCATTTGCGCTTGACGCATGCATTTTTAGGCCTGCGACCATACCTACAAACAAATTCGTGGCGCAGGGATTGGCTCCCAGCTGTCACCGGCCCCTTGCAACGTCGCCATCGCCCTCATAGAGCATGCGTGGCACCAGCTCCACAACGACCTCCTCCAGCCTCCACTTCAACTACTACCGCTACGTAGACAACCGCTTCATCGCCCACAATGATGAACACTTCCTATCCGCCCGTCATCCAAACTCTCACCCATCAGGATTTCTTTAGAGATCCGATTGAACTCGAAACTGTTGAAGACTTCCACTCACTCGGCTTCAGCTTCCCGCATCCACACCATCTACAGCACTTACCCTTCCACAGCAGCTGCCGCCGCGGCGGGGGTGATCACTTTGTACATGGCCAAAGGGCGCCCGCCTGCAGAGTGTAGACGCTTTTTTGAAAGAAGCCGGTTTCCGGAGCATTTGGGCCGGTTCACACACATCCACAGCGCCGCCCAGCGGTTCCCGGCATTTTACTTTCACGTTTCCCCGGACTTCACGCGCAGGGGGTGGAGACACCGGTGTTGCTTCTCCACCAACGAAGCTGGCAATACCCGGTGAGGACATCAGTTCCGGACGCGGAACTGACGTACCTGCAGCCAACACACTGACACCACTGATACGATCGCTGTCGTTGTGTTCTTCCATGGTGGTTCTCCGTCATACTCCCCACAAACCCACTTACCTGCCGCGTATGCAGCTGAGCCACCGCAGCTTTCCGCAGCCACGCGCTAACATTTTGTTCAAACACCTTCAAGTGGCTCGGACGGTTCACCTTTCCGTTTTGTCACTGGATGAACCAGTGACTATAAGTGTGTGTGTGTGTAACCCTTGGAGTCACAGGGATCCGTTTGGATGCCCAACGAAGCTACAGAAGACTGGTGGAAGCATTCAGGGATGCTTGAATGTGTACCTGCATCAATTTTTAAGATTTCTTGTGTACTGCAGACCTGCGCGCTACGTCGTCATTTGGCCCCGCTTCCATTTGAGGACCTCCAGGCTTCTTTGCTTTCACTTGATCTGGTCCCAGGTCGTCGAACAGGGGTTAGTCGAACGTATGCCCGGATACAGAGCAGCTCGCAGCGAGCGTAGGTGTGAGATCCTTGTTTTGTTGTAAGAAGTTAAGTTAGTTAAGATCAGTTATATAACTATTAGCTTGAGTTGCTAACTCTATATAACTGGTTATAACTCTAAAAATGGTTTCTCCAAAATCCAAATTGACTTTAAGTTTTTCAGAGAATTAAAATGATTTTGGTACAAAAAAAGATAAACTAATATGCATTTTCGAAAGAAAAAAACATAATGAATTTCTGTCGTGGTGCATTGACATGTGCAAACATTTATTGATGGATGGAAGAAGCCATCATGGCCTTTGATGAGCCATCATGGCCTTTGATGAGCCACCATGGCCTTTGATGAGCCACAATGGCCTATGGTAATTTGACTGCAAAAGACAGCTGCACAGACACACTTGTTTTTCTTGCTATCTTCGACTGTAGCATTGGTATGGCAACAGCACAGTCACTTGGTCATTGCTTTTGCTGTATGGCACTGGGAACAATATATTGCTCAATGGAATGAGCCCATTGGAGGCTGTCACCTTGCATTTGGCATGGTATTGGTCCATGTTCTGTATGGACCACAATTGGACCAAAGTGGTTTGCAAGCCAAATACCTGGAAATGCTTGATGGCAAGTGCAACTTTCCATTGGTCATTGCCTTCTGAGAAAATGATGGCATCACCACCTGAAATTTGGCAACCTCTGGCCAAAATGGCAACAGTCGAACTTTGTGCTTGAAGGCAAGGTTGGCTCAAAAAAGGTGCCAAGGCCACTTGGTCCTGTTGGGTGGCAAGCTTTGGTTTCCACATGTGGCAAACATTGGGAAATTGATCTGGCTGCTGTAAAGTGCAAATTTCAGTGGAAAGCACTTGCTGAAGGAGGTGCTTCTCATAACTGGTGGTTCTTGTCAATTTGGTTGCCAAAGCTGAAATGCTTTTGTGTTTCCTTTCAGCTGTGAAGCAGCTTGGAAGAGTGGAAAATCTGGACAATGCATCTGGTAGGTGCAGATGCCAATGCCATTTCTTGATCATGGTTTCTTCTGGCCAAGCAGCCAAAAATGATGCATTGGCTTTTTCCACAGCACTCAACAAGGATTGCCTTGCGGTGGCTTTCCATTGCACACCACCATGGCATTGGTCTATGACTTCTGACATGGCCAAAAAAGCATTCACTGCTGCCACACACAGGCCTTGAGGCTGGATGATGGTGCACGTGCAATGCCTCACTATGGGGAAAATGCCTAAACATTCTGCTGCTGTGCAAGTGAATTTTCTGGCATTCTTGGATTTTTCCATGTTCTTCTTCTCAAACAATTGGTGAAAATAGTTGGCCTTCGGGGTTTTGCCAACATTGGAAGTATTTTTCAAAGAAGGCAAGCAATCAAAGCCTTCTGTGGCCAAGCTGGTAAACAGGTGGTGGAGTACACATGGGGCAGTGCCCTGGAGCACTCCATGCATCCAATCGTGGCAAAATTGTGTGGCTGGTCTGATGACCCCTTTGTCCAGCAATGGCTGGTTCAACATTAGGGCATGTTTGGAATATGTCAGACCAGTGGCCTGCTGCCATTGTGCAAAAGTTGTCTTTGTGCAAGAGCTGGACCTGGTATGCAATCTTTGGCAGCTGTCCAACAAGTCCTGGTCAGTGACCAGCCTAAGCTGGCTGTATTGAGTGGTAGCACAATGAAATTCATGTGGTTCTTCATCTGCATGCTTGGCCACTTGGCCATGGACATTGGCGCACAACAGACAAAACTTTGTGCCTGAATCGCCCTTGCTGGACCAAACCTGTTTGGCAGCAGCACCATCGGCCAAAACCATTGCTAAGTGGAAACACAAATTGGTGTCCCCACTGCTGGCTTTCAGCTTGATGCCAAGCCTGGGGTCTTGGATGGGGCAACAGAAGATGCTTTCTAAGACATGGCCCATCATTTGGGCAATGCCTCCATCCAAGGTGGCCACAAAGTTGGACCTTTCCACACTGATGGTGAGCCATGAGTCTTCATTGGACAAGTGTGGCCCAAACTGGAGGAAGCTGCAGTATATGGTCCATACCTTTCTTTCTGCCCCCCCCCAGGACATTTCCTGGGATGATTTCATCACAGTACAGTATGAGCCCCCATGGGTTGTCTATTGAAGATGGGCAGAAGGCATGGCTTTGCTGGACAAGCTGGGTCCATGCACCATTGTGGTTGTAGATTGCCATCATGTAAACCAACAGGTTTGCAAAAAAAACATTGTGGTGGTGGTGCCATCATCTTTCACCAAGTTGGCTTCCTGGATCAATGGACCCAAAGCTCCTCCATGGCGGTCATCAAGGAGTTGAAGCCTTGCTTCTTTTTGGTGGTTGCTACTGTGTAGATCTGGTATTCCAGACTTCTTGGCCTTGTCGAGAATAGCTGCCAAAGCACTTTGTGAATGCTTGGGCAAATTGGAAGAGAATTGCAGAAGCTCTGCCAGCTTGGCCCTCTTGGTCTTGGGCTTCTGGTCTGGCAAATCGTTTTCCATGGCATGTTTCTCCATGGATCCTTTGTCCATTGTATTGTCAAATGAAATTGAAAACAAAACATGTCATGACATGCTCTGAGAAGTGGCACTGGTGTGAACGCTTTCTTCATGGCAACTGTTCTGTTTGATTTCCAAAGCTGCTCAGCCATATAAATGGAATTGTCAAACAAACACTGGTGGCCACAAGGGCTTTTGAAACTTTTCAATTGATGTGAACATACAACAAGAATTCTTCTGTGGGTCTTTTGCAGCTGGGCTTTGCACATGCTCTCACCATCTGCCTTGACTCCCAAAGACTTGATGCCATGATTTTGGCATTATGAGTCTCCCCCTGCAAGACTTCAGTGGTGGTGGCTGGTCACAAATGGTTTCACTTGTGTTTGCCAAATGCTGCTTCCCACGCTGCTCGACCTGGATAAATCTGGCCCCTGAAGTTGGGCTTGCCACATTGGCTGCAGCCATCCCCCCTGCACTTGCTGCATCCTGGGCCCATGCCAGACTTCTTGGCCTTTGGTGCAGCCTTAGCTTTGGAGGCAGCCTTGGCCTTGGCCACAGTCTTGGCTTTGCACTTTGGGGTTGGAGTTGTCTTGGCTTTGCGCTTTGGGGTTGGAGTTGGCTGGTGAGCAGCAGGTCTCTTCATCCCCTTGGTCTTCTTCTTGGAGGCAATGGCTTGGTAAGCCTGTGCTTCCAACTCTTCCAATGTCTGGCCATTGGTGTTGCTAGATGGTTGGCCCTTTTGCTGAGGCACCGCTGGCTCAGTGGCCAAAGGCAAAGCTTGCTCAGTTGGCCCATTTGTCAGAGGCAGTGCCTGGGGCATGGGTGTGGCTGCAGGCCTGTTGTTCAAGACTTCCTGCTGGCTGGTGGCTGCCTGTGTTGCAAAGGTAACCTGTGGCTGCCTGTGGCTCTGGGCTTGTAACAAAGCTTGAGCAAGCTGGGCCACAGTGTCTTGTGGCACATTTCCATTGGTTCTGCATTGGGTGGCTTGGAGCAACAGGTTGGTGTTCCTGACAGGAGCCTTCTTCATCCATGGTGCCAATGAGATTTGGCGACATTCTGGTCTATCATTCCCACAGGCTGCCTGCAACCAATTCTCTCCCAAGTCATTTGGCCTGGGAGGGTATGTTCCATTACCTGGTGCAACCCCTTGGGTAGCTGCTTTGTGAAGAGCTTGGAAATCTTTCTGCAGCTGGTGCAAAGCATGTGGGGTCATAGCTGGCTTCCCCTGGTCATTTCTGATTTTCAAGATCAGGGCCACTGCTTGGTGCTTGGTGTGCTCCTTGAGGCTCACAACACTCATGTGGGCCAGCCTTTGGGCTAACGCAGACAAAAGATCCATGACAGTCACATCTGCATGGAGCAAGGTCCAGTCTTGGCTTGTCAAGTAGGCTGGGAAGTTGTGCACCTTCTGGCCACCATGGGCCAATGTCAATGCATGGTTGTTTGATGCAGTGGCTAATGACTCCACACATTGGTTCAAAGTGGCTTTCTCTGTCTCAGGCAAAGTGGATTTTTCCACATGGTCCAGCAATTGGATGATTGCTTCACTTGTCCATGTATCCACTGTGTGGAGCCTTTGGCACAAAGTGTTCAGCAGAGTCTGAACCACTGTGGAGCCAGGTCTTCTGGCACACAACTCTTGCAGATGGGTGATCTCTGCCAAGAAATCTTCAATTTCCCACAAATGGCTCATACTGCAGGCAGTAAAGGGCAAGGCAGAAGTGGCTGGGCTGACAAGGGCAAGGTGGCTACATGGAGATGAGCCAAAAATATAGATTATAGACGGTGAAGGTATATAAGATGTGAGGAAAGGTTGAATAGTGTATGCTATTCAGGTGTATTGCAAAGGATTGAAGAATATATTGTAAAGCAAAAGGTACCTGATAGGAGAAATCTATTGGCATTGAACGGGAAAGAAAGTTATGGTGTGTCCAAAAGGATGCTTTTGCTAAAGATGGCCATAAATTGGCTTTTGCAAGCGACCTAAATATGCCATATATGGCATTTGACACAAACAACTGTCACTTGTGCACAACTTCAAAGCTTGGGTAGCCAAAAAAGGCTTTTGGAAACAAAACTCAGCTGCTGATCTTTTTTTTCACTGGCTAGGTGACACAAAAGGTCTGGCTGTGTGAAACAAATGGTGGCATTTGCAGTGGCTCGAATGTCAAACCAATCTGGTCTTCTGGCATCAGACCCATGGCGGTTCATGATGTTCTGGGTTCTGGTGTATTCCCTGGCAAAGTGGAGGTTGGCCTTCATGGTCTCCAAGAGGCTTGGCACAGCATCCCAATGGCCTGCAGCATAGTGGTCTACCAATTGCTGGGCTGACCTTCCCCATGCCTGGTTTGGCTGCAATGGATGCTTTGCCAAATCAGCTTGGAATTTGCTGACTATGGCATCTGTGGTGGCCCAATCTTTGGCATCCCAAAGGACAGCGAAGAAGACTAACTTGGCCTTCCATCCAGTTTTTTTGGTGCCACGGTGGTCAGAAGGCTCTGGCATGGCTTGTCCCACACATGGGCCACTACTGGATGCCATAGATTGGTCTGGTGGCACTGCTGCACTTGCTGCTCTGGGGTATGCCTTTGGGCTCTGCAGGAATTGGTTGGAAGCTGGTGAAAGTGGCTCTGGTGGTGGTGCCACATTGCCCATTGGTGACCTTTTGGCAAAAAACAAGCTGGGTGGTTTCTAGAATTTGTTTGGGCCAGCAGCTGGCCTCATCTGGCTTTGGTTTGCTGAACATGCTGGCCTCATCTGGCTTTGGTGTGCTGGGTATGGTGGCAAAGGGATCATACTCTGGTGATTTTGCAGGCTCAAATGGAATATCTATGGGAGGTTCTTGCTCCAGCTTGATGGGATCATTGGCTTGGTAACCACTGGCGTCGCTGGTGGACAATCTGGGAGCCTTGGGCACATTGGTGCAATCTGCATCATTGGCCCTCATCCTGGCCAACTCCTGTGGCCTCCATTGGCCTTCATTGATGGTCATGTTGGACACAACAGTGTCACTGGAATCACTGGAGGTGGCACTGGTATCACTGGTGGTGGCCTGTGGATCCACTTGCTCTGCCATGGCTGCTGGTTTGTGGCACCTCGTTGGGCTTCAATGGGTTTGTAAATGGTTGGTAGAAATTACACTATTGGTGTAGCTACAGCCTAATTTAAAGTATTGATAGAACACTGCATATAGTGCTTATGTTCTACAGGTTCTGGCATGTTCTTCTGATGCATAAATGGCTATAATAGTAAATAGATATACTAGTATGTATGTATATATATATATATCCTAAAGGCCACATTGGCTTTTGGGCCATATTGGCTTTTGATACAAGTTCACAACTGATGGGCCATATTGGCTTTTGATTCAATTTCACAATTTCAGTGAAAAAATGAAGGCCACAGTGGCTTTTTGCTCAACCATACAAATTAAATACACAATTAACAATATTTTGTTTGAATGAAATTTATGTTATTTTTATATTGTTGAAAAATTTTTGTTTTTGTTGAAAATATATCAAAACTAGTATTTACAATCACTATGTTTTATATTTTGTTTGCTTTGAAAACTATTAATATTTGCTTTTTTTAGTATTAAATTTATTTATCCAAATATGAAATTTAGATTTTGAGTCTTAATTTAACTTTCCAAATCCAAGATTTTAGATTCTGATTTTGAATCTAACTTTTTCCATCCAAAATTTTAGATTCAGATTCTGAATCTAACTCTCCAAATCCAAGATTTTAGATTCAGATTCTGAATCTAACTCTCCAAATCCAAGATTTTAGATTCAGATTCTGAATCTAACTTTTGAAACCAAAAATTTTAGATTCATATTTTGAGTCTAAGCTTTTAGACCTCGAACCTGTATGTTGAGATTCAATTCTATTAGATTTTGTTTCCTGAGTGTGCTTCACCAAAGATTTTTGTCCACAGTTTTAGTCATTAAGTCTTACTTTCTTTCTTTACTTCACAAAAAATACCCACCAGTTTAGTTATTAGATTTGGCCTCCTTACTTTACTTCACCTACAAAAATATGATTAGTTTTAATTATTAGGTTTTGTTTTCTTACTTTACTACACCAAAGATTTTTGTCCACAGTTTTAGTCATTAGGTTTTGCTTACTTTCTTTACTTCACCAAAAATGTTTGTCCACAGTTTTAGTCATTAGGTATTGACTTCTTCCTTTACTTCACCAAAAACTGTCCACAGTTTTAGTGAGATGATTTTGCTTTCTTCACTGGCTTCACCAAAAATGTTTGTCCACAGTTTTAGTGATTAGGTTTTGACTTCTTCCTTTACTCCACCAAAAACTGTCCACAGTTTTAGTGAGATGATTTTGCTTCCTTCCCTGGTTTCACCAAAAATGTTTGTCAATAGTTTTAGTCATTAGGTTTCGACTTCTTCCTTTACTTCACCAAAAACTGTCCACAGTTTTAGTTATTGGATTTTGTTTCCTTGCCTTACTTCAAAAAAAAATGTTTCTCTACAGTTTTAGTCATTAGGTATTGTATATTTCCTTACAGCAAAATCAACAAAAACATTCAAAAGCAAATGATTATATATGTTTGTTCCCCAAATAGTGCTCCGCACTAAGGGGTTCTTACGGTAAGAGTTAAGCGGGTTTAGATAGGGTTCGCGCGTGTGGTTTCGGCATTTTGCGTGGGCCGGCTCGCACAAAAGTTACTTTTTGAATTCCTCATGTCCATTTCGACTGCGCAGGCTCGCATAAAGTGGTGGCCGCGCCTTTCGCGCTTCCGGGACAAAGCTCTCGTGCAGGTGCCGTGCTCGTTTTCGGACACGAAGTGCATTTTGCGTGGCAGGCGCAAGGAATTCGACGCATTGGAGCCTCGAAAAGGTCATTTTACGTGGCAGGTGCAAGGAATCGGAGACTTTGTAAATTTCGTGGCAGGCGCAGTGTTTTGTGGACGTTGCAAAAACGTTGGCAGGCGTGTGTCATTCGCAGGATTGCGTTTCGCGTGGCAGGCGCAGGGAATCCGCACCATGGATGCGATATTTTGAGGTGAAACGGCTGAATTCATGAGAGGGGTCGCATTTTTGGAATTTGAACTTGAGGATGCTTTTGCGTGGCCAGTGCAGCATTTCGTATGACCTGCAGGCATGATTTCGTCGCAGGCGCAGCATTTCTGAAACGCATTTCAAAATTTGCGAAAGCCTCGTGCAATTTGCTCATTTTGGATCTCCGATGTGCAGATTTCGTGGCAGGCGCAGCACTTTGTGAATCTGGACGTGCAGATTTCTTGGCAGGCGCAGCACTTTGTGAATCTCGATGTGCAGATTGCGTGGCAGGCGCAGCACTTTGTGAATCTCGATGCGCAGATTTCGTGGCAGGCGCAGCACTTCGTGAATCTCGATGCGCAGATTTCGCGGCAGGCGCAGCACTTTGTGAATCTCGATGTGCAGATTTCGTGGCAGGCGCAGCACTTTGTGAAGCTCGATGCGCAGATTTCGTGGCAGGCGCAGCACTTTGTGAATCTCGATGTGCAGATTTCGTGGCAGGCGCAGCACTGTGTGAATCTAGATGTGCAGATTTCGTGGCAGGCGCAGCACTTGCTGAGTCTGGAAGTGGAGATTTCGTGGCAGGTGCAGCACTTCGTGAATCTCGATGCGTAGATTTCGTAGCAGGCACAGCACTTTGTGAATCTCAATGTGCAGATTTCGTGGCAGGCGCAGTACTTTGTGAACCTCCACATGCAGATTTCGTAGCAGGCGCGGTACATTGTGAACTTTGAAATGCTCCTATGTATTCGCCTATGTGCTCTCAGATTTGTGCTCTCAGATGTGTGCTCTCATATGTGCTCCCATATGCTCTCATATGTGTGCTCTCATTTGTGCTCGTGAATCTGCACTCTCACATTTGCGCTCTCGTATGTATCCTCTCATATTTGCGCTCTCATCTGTGTGCTCCTTCTTTCCTTCCACGTGATGCCATGTTCCATCTGTTCCTCTTTACACTATTTGGGGTCCCTTGCCGGTGTAATTTTTTGTAGAGTGGCTGATGCACTGGCACTTCTTTTCCTGGAAGAGCAAACTGGCTTCACCACTCACTTGGTGGCTTTCATTGCCTTCATGGCCAGCTGTGGCTTCATTGGCGATGGTAGTGGTCCACCATTGGCAGCCCTTTGGGAAGCTCTGGCTCCATGGAGTCTGGCACTGGACACAATTGGCAATCTGGCCGAAGCGGCGCAGAAAGACCCAACTGGTGCACTGGCCACTTTGGCCTTGGCATTCAAGGGTGGCATCAAACAGCCCCCATGGCTTGGCCTGGGCAGGGACCACATCATCTGGTGTGGTCTCTGTGGACTTCATGGCCTTCATGGCCTTCATAGCCTTGCTGGCCTTCATGGCTGCCATCTTGGAGTTGGCCATGGCTGGTACTGCTGGCTTTGGTAGGGTGCAGTGGCTTGGGGCGCACTTGGTCACCTGGCAAAATGGCTGCAACACAAAATGGTTTAAACCTCACACAAAAACATAGTTGGCCAAAATTGCTTTTTGAACAATGGGCCATAAAATGGCTTTTGTAATATGTATATGCCATATATTGGCATTTGGAAATAGATTGGCCAACTTGGCTTTTGGAACCATGTGACCATAAAATAGGTTTCGCAAAACATATCTGCCATAGTGGCATTTGGAAGTGGATTGGCCAACTTTGCTTTTTGAAACATGAGCCATAAAATGACATTTGTAAAATGAATATATAGTGGCCTTTGGACATGGATTGGCCAACATGGCTTTTGTTTCTGCAGTCACATGGGCTTTTTTCAAACAATGCATTCATGGAAGCTGGCATCCACATGGTTCATGGAACTTGGCATCCACATGGTGTGGTGTGGGCAAATGGACCAAAGGTTGGCCCTGGCTTCCTCAGTGGTGCTGCTTCTGATGGGTGTCCTGCCAGGATGCAGCATGGCTGGTAAAAATTGAAAGCAAACATTGCAAACTCAGTGGTTGGCAATATATAATGGAAAATAAGCAAATATCTGGTAATCTACTGTGAATCATAATCTTCTGTCCTGGTTCGACTCTGATGGCATCATCTCCAAGTGGTGCCACACATGGCTGGCTGTTCATGCTGGTGAACCTCCATGGACGCCCACATGTTGGGCAATTCCTGGTCTCATGGTCCACATCCATGGCCATGATGAATGCATGGCAACTCTCTTGGCCATGGTAGCTGCAATGGTACCAAGCCAGTGGTCTCTTGTGTGGCTCCATCAAATGGAGGGCATATTGGGCAACCCTTTGGAGTTGGGTCCATTGGGGGTTGTCCACCCATGGGTTGGGATTCACCCATGGCACATTATTGGTGTCTCAGTTTGGGCTTTTGGGTCTCTGCCAGAGCAACATGGCAGTGGCTGGCCCATGGCAATGCCTGTGAACTGCACTATGGGATTGGTGGCTTGGCTTGAGCCTTAAGAAAATATGGGATTGTGGAATTGTGGCCTGTCATGGATTGACTTTGTTGCATTCTGTAAGCCA